GCCATGAAGTGAGTGATCCAATGATTTTAAAAATATATATTTAACTACCTTAGAATTTTCACTTAGAAATATTTTATACATGAAAGAACATTTATAGCCCTGGCTGGGTAGCTTAGTTGGTTAGAGCACTGTCCCATTTGTCAACATTGTGAGTTTGATCCCCAGTCAGGGCCCATACAAGAATCAACTACTGAATGTATAAATAAGTGGAACGACAAATTGATGTTTCTCTTTCTCTCTCTCCCTACCTCTCTCTCTCTAAAATCAATAAATAAAAATTTCTGGCTTCTGGTCAAGATGGCGGCATATGAAGACATGGCTCGCTTCTTCGCACAACCACATCAAACTTACAACTAAATATAGAACAACCATCATTAGGAATGTCAGAAATTGAGCTCAATAGACAACTATGAAATCAAGTTGAATGGAAGTCTGACAACTATGAAATTAAAGAAACCACATCCATCCAGATTGGTAGGAGGTGTTCAGATGCAGAATGGGCTGGTCCCAATACCCATGTGGATAAAAATGTGGGAGGGATATCTCAGGAGCAAGGAGTCCCAGCCCCACACCAGGCCACCCAGCCCAGGACTCCAGTGCCAGGAAGATAAGTTCCCACAACTTCTGGATGCAAAAACCAATGGGGATTGAATTGAGGGAAGAAGCTTCTGGAGTCCCAAGCAGTTCCTCTTAATGAACACACACACAGACTCACCTACTCAGACTCACTCCCTCTGAGCTCCAGCACTGGAGTAGCAGCTTGAAAGGCACTAGTGGTATACAGGGAAAACTGAAGTGTCTGGCATCAAGGAGAGCAGAGGTCACTGTTCCTTTGGTAAACCCTCCCTTCACAGAGCTGACAAGCTTGTCCCATATCTGAGACTCCATCAACTTGGTTAACACTGTTTAAAACACTTTGAGATCCCCAGAAGCTCTGCCCTACTCAATTGATGAGCCCGCTCAAGCTGCTTTTCCATAATGGCTGGTCTTGGCTCCTAAATCCTATCAAACAAGCAACAGTTGGCTTCAGTGAGCATTAGCAGCAGCCAGATTAGAGTCACAGTTTGGCTACACCTGGGAATCTCCAAGCCCAGCACAAGTAGCAGCTACCTCAGATTTCTTTATAACTCAGGCAAGATGCACTGGGCAAAACATAGGTGAGGGGCTGACCTTGGCCTGCACGACCCAGGAAACCTCAGCACCAGTGCACCCAGTGGACAGCTATATACCACGTCGAAGTACCACCACCCTGCCCGTGCACAGCTGATCCTCCATGGAGGGTGGAAGTTGGTGGTAAGTGATCACAACCAATCCTTGCATCTGACTGGCCTGGGTAAATTCCGCCTATTGGTCTGCCAACAGCAACCAAGGCTCAACTACAAGAGGAGGGTATACTCAGCACACACAAAGGGAAAACCTTGCATACCCAGATTGGGTGATAGGGGAGGCTGTGCCACTGGCTCTATAGAACACCTACTACATTAGGCCACACTACCATGACACAGAGTCAAAGCTGCTCTATCTAATACATAGAAAGAAACACAGGGAGGCTGCTAAAATGAGGAGACAGAGAAACATAGCCCAAATGAAAAAACAGATCAAAACTCCAGAAAAAAGAGCTAAATGAAATGGAGATAAGCAATCTATTGGATGCAGAGTTCAAAAGACTCATTATAAGGATGCTCACAGAACTTAGTGAGGACCTCAGCAGCTTAAAAAAGACCCAGTAAGAAACAGAGGATACCCTAACTGAAATATAGGACAATTTACAGGGAAACAGCAGTAGAGTGGATGAAGCCAAGAATCAAATCAATGATTTGGAACATAAGGAAGCAAAAAACAACCAATCAGAACAACAAGAAGAAAAAAAGAATCCAAAAAATGAGGATAGTAGAAACAGCCTCTGGAACAACTTTAAGAGGTCCAACATTCACATCATAGGGATGCCGGAAGGAGAAGAGAAAAGGCAAGAAACTGGAAATCTATCTGAAAAAATAGAGGAAGAATACTTCCTTAATTTGGTGAAGAAAAGAGACAAGTCCAGGAAGCACAGAAAGTGCCAATTATGATGGATACAAAGATGCCTGTTTTAAGACATATCATTATTAAAAGACCAAAGGTTAAAGACAGAGACTCTTAAAAGCAAGAGAAAAAAAGTTAGTTACCAGAAGGTTACCAGATGGGAGGGCAGAGAGGAAGAATGAGTGATGAGGTGAGAGGATTAAGAAGTATGAATAGGTAGTTATAGAATAGCCATGGGAATATGAAGAACAGGATAGGAAATGAAGTTGCATAAGAACTTATACACATGACCCATGGTCATGAACAATGGTGGGGGGATTACCTGAGAGAGTAGGGGGCACTGTCTGGAGGCAGGTAAAGGGAAACAAATCAGAACGACTGTAATAGTATAATCAATAAAATATAATAATAAAATAAAATAAATTCCTTTTTTAAAAGAACATTTGCAATATAAATGTTAAGTTTAAATAATTATAATAAGACACCCATATATCTACCTAGACCTAGTTTAAGAATAGAATATCATCAATATTTCTGTTGGTATCACCTCCCCTGCCATCTATAGGTGATCTAATTACTATCTTAATTCTTGTACATATCATCTTCTTTCTTTCATAGTATTGACACATAGGTATGTGTCCCTCAACAATATAAAATGTAGTTTTGCTTGTTTTTGAACTTTGCATATATAGAGAATTATATGGTCTTTTTTGCTCTGTGTTATGTTGTTCAACCATTTAACATGTGCAGCTATAAGTCATCTGTTAAAAGTGCCATGTAGGACCCTGTGGATGGGTCACTCGGTTAGTTGGAACCTTGTTCCATACAGCAAAAAGGTTACAGATTCAATTCCCCATTGGGCATGTATAGGAGGCAACTGATCAATGTTTCTCTTTCTTTCTCTTTCTCTCTCTCGCACTCCCTCTCTCTAAAGTCAACAAAACATCCTCAGTTGAGGATGAAATGATTAAAAGCTAAGTAAGTAAGTAAAAAAAAACAAAGACACTGAAATAGAGAACAAGGGGACAGCGACCATAGGGGAGAGGGAAGGGAAGTTAAGGGGGAAAAGGGAGGGATTTGGAGGAACAAATAGGAAAAACACAGGGACAAGAACTGAGGGGGGTGGAAATGGGAGGGAGGTGGGGAGCAAGGGGCGGGGGAGGCTGGGATGGGAGAAATAGACAAAAAAAACTGTACTTGAAAAATAATTTTTAAAAAATTTTTAAATAATAATAAATAAATAATATTCTTTAAAAAATGAAAAAAAATTATAACTTGCAAAAAAAAGTCATGTAGGACTCCACTAAAATGTATCGATTCATTGCATTGTCATTGGATGTATGCATCCAGTGTTTTGTTAGTAGTGATCTTACACTCCCATACATGCCTCCTGGTCTAGAGTTTTTCTGGGGTAGTGATTCTTGACCTGGGCTGAATATTACAATCATCCAGGAGCTTAAAAACTATTGATACCCAGGCCTCACCCCTAGAGATCCTGATTTAACTGCCCTGGGGTGAAATCAGAGCCATTGTGTCTGCACCAGTGGAATTCCCCCTGGTGATTCCAATGTCCAGCCCAGTTGGGAAGCACTGCTTTCTGGTTTGATGGCCAACCTACAGTATTCCTGGGTCATGCCATCAAGTCTTTTCTTCAGTTATACCAAATAACGTGAAAACTTTTATCAAGAAGGTGTATCAATTATACTCTTCTTACTAGCAGTCTTTGAGAGTTCAGATTGCTCTAGAGCCTTACCAACACCCCAAGATGTTAAACTATTTTTTTGGTCAATGTGATAAATATAAAAATGGTAGCATTATGGTTTACTTTTCATTTTCTTGATTACTTATCTTGAAATGTTATTTTTCATACATGTTCTTCTGTTAGGTTCTTACTCATATCTTTTACCCATTTGCTTATCTTTTTCTTACTGATTTGTAGAACCTCTTTACATAGCCTAGATAATTAAATATCCTGAATAATTATCCTTTGTCTCAGGTTCCACCTTTAATTAATTTTGTGACCTTAGTCAAGTTGCTTAATCTCCACGATTCTATTTCCTTTCCATAAAATGATGGGATAATACCAACTGTGAGGTTTGTAACAATGTACATGAAGCACTTAGCTGGTGCCTAGAACAGGGCAGGTGCACACAGATTGTGGTTATTAAGAGGGCACATTTATCTATTAATAAGAGTATTAAAGATGAAATATTATTCCAGGCATATAGCATTTATATAAAGTAAATTGCTTAGAAGACAGGTCATGTGCTATAGAAGTTAAAATTACTGTGTCTACAGAAACACAAAATGCTATGTGACTTTGGACAAGATACCCCCACTGTCCTCAGTGTCCTCACATGTGATAAGGGGATAACAATGGGATAATCAGGAGGCTGTTTAAGGATCAATTGGTACATGTATGTATAAGCTCTTAGGGCAGTAAAATCACCAAGAAAATTTCAAATATAATTTTCCTACTATCTAGCACAAAAGACATTTCTGTGGTATACTGGGGAAACTGACTACTCTCAGTCACCTGTTTCTTTTTAAAATTTTTTTCATGAGTTTTTAATTAAATTATTGCGGTGACATTGGTTAATAAAATTATATAGGTTTATATAAACCTATATAATTTATTGGGCAGAGGTCTAAAAAGTCCTCTGCCCAATTTTCAATTGGATTGTTTGTTTTTTTGGTGTTAAGTTGTATGTGTTCTTTATATATATATTGAATACTAAGCCCTTGTCCAAACTGTTGTTTGAATATATCTTCTCCCATTCAGTTGGTTGCCTTTTTATTTTGTTGGTGGTTTCTCTTGCTGTGCAGAGAAGCTTTTTAGTTTGATAAAGAAATGAGTTATCTGTTCCTGGGTAAGAAATCCCTCACCAAAGAAAGACAGAGGAAAATATATAGCAAGCATTCAGTAATTATTCCTTGGTAATGGGTGTGAATAACATGATTAAGGATATAATACTAACCTGATTGAATCGCTGAAATATATTCCACTCCCAAGATTTCCAATGTCTGTTCTTTTTACTCCATGATCTTCAACTACTTTGGGCAAAAGCAACCCCCTAAAAAAAAAGGATGTATTATAATGTTTATAGGAAAAAGAATTTTTTAATTCATAAGTCACAGGTGCTATTTAAAGGATATTATGCTAAGAGAAGTGAGCCAGACATAGAAATACTGTATGACCTCCTTATATGTGAAATCTAAAAATGCAGAATTCATAGAATCAGAGAATAGAATGGTAGTTTCTAGGGACTGAGGGAAATGAGAAGATGCTGGTCAAAGGGTACAAACTTTCATTTATAACATGAAAAAATTCTACAGCTATAATGTACAGCATGGTATTATAATTAATAATACTGTACTATATATTTGAATTTGGCTAAGAGGGTAGATTTTGTGTTCTTACCATAAGAAAAAAAGTTAACTATGTAAGACATAGAAGTGTTAATTAACTTGATGGTGATAGTCATTTTACCACGTATACTTATATTAAATCATCACTTTGCACACCTTTAAAAAAACACATTCTACAACCTAAATACATACAGTTTTTATTTGTCAATCATACATACCTCAACAAAACTGGATAAAAATTAATATACCAATTTAAATACAACAAATAAATAGTATGAAATGAAAAGAAAAATACATGTCAAAGTAACTCCATGGGAGCCATTCCAGGTGCCATGAAAATGACCTAGACTATGGCCTGTTTCTTATCACTGTCTTGAGCACCCCTTGGCCTCTGGTCATTTCTCCTGTCCCTTGGCTCAGCCTCTTTCTGGCCCAAGGCCCCCAGTGCTCAACTGGACAATGTTTAAGGCCAACACTGACTGCTTCTCCCCTGCTCAAGGTTATATGCAGTTCCGGTCGGACTTGTGGCATTCAGACAACTCGTATTTATCTCTGGGAAGGTGAGAAAAGGAGATGTCTGCCTTTTTATTATATAAACATCCACATTTTGAATTTTGTATTATGAGAGAAAATTAATTTTTTTTAAATGGCTTTGTGTTTTAGTCCTTTTTATAAAGGTCACTCTGGTTACATGGTTAAGATGGTGGCAAGATACATGGGAGAGGAGTCCACTTGCCCCCCTGAACTGGTGAAACACCTAGCCAATCTTCTGAGGAACAGAGTGAACAGCCAATGGTATCCCAGCATATATAAAGATTAGAGACCAAAATTGTAGAGGACATTGAAAAATCAGATGGTAAGGAGAGTGCTTCAGGACAATAAGGTTCCTGGGACCAGTGCTGTGACCAGGGCAGCTGTGGCCCCAGGCCCGGCGCCACTGACTCTGCCACAGGATTCTTGGCAGAGAGCCAGGTCAACTGCTTCCCTACCCTGCCAAACAAGGTTTGAACAGTACCAGGAGGGACTTGGATGCTTCAAGTCACAGGGGGGAATAAGGACAAAGTGGCAAACACACAAGGGCAGTGCGTATCCACTGAGACTGGACGCTGGCTGGTAATAATTGGGCAGTGACAGACCCTGACCCAGATAGTCCCTGGTCTGGTTGGAGAGTTGAGCTGTGCAAGAGGCCAGGTGCTTGTTTGGAGTGGCAGGCTTGAATAGGAGGAATTTTTCAAAAAGAAAAAGAGAGAAAAGAGGTACTCATCCACTGTTTAGGGAATTCTCCCTCAGCAGCAGACCCCACCTTCTGCACCCCTGCTGTGGCAGCAGCTGTGCTCACACCTGCAGCCCTGGGTGGAAGGTGCCTGACACCACCGCCCCCACAGCCACAGCAGCAGCAGCAGCAGCAGCAAAGGCTACCCATGCTCACACCTGGAGCCCTGGGGACAATGCATCGGAAACCATGGCCCAGCGGGCTGCCCATCCTGCCCCAGCAGTGGAGTTTGAGCACCCACACCCACAGTCCCAAGGATGGAGCATGCCTGACCCTGCTGCCCAGAGGGACCTCGCACCCAACTCAGCACCCCAGGCACAGCAGCAGAGGAGGCGTGTGCCCACATCCACAGCAGCAGCCAAGGTGGTGGCTTTGCCCTGCAGGGCCAACTGGCTCTCTAAGAGGAAGGTGGAGATGTCCCCTACAGAGGAGAACTGCAAGGCTGAGAGTCACCAATCCCCAGAAAGATTGGGCTGAACTACCCTGAAGAGACTCTGAAACTGCCTAACATATAGGACAGCAAAGAGTGAGGAGGTGGTGTGTGAACAGCCCCTAGTTGGTGCACCTCAAGGACAGTGCAACTGGTGGACTGAAGGAATAGGCTGGGCTCAGAAGGGCACTGGGGGCTGGCAGCAAACTGAGCCCCCACGGGGCTGGAGGCTGTGCAACTGTGAAGAGTATGCCTCAGGAAGGGAGAAAAGTGAAACCAATCCCCTCTCAGCCTGTTGTAGCCCGGAAGACCAGCAGAACTGGCCTGGCTGGTTTATGGCCATCAGAAAGCTTCAAAAAATTTTTTTTCAATTCCTTCTTCCTTTCTTTCCTTCTATCTATTTTTATTCCTTTCTTCCTTCCTTCTTTTTTTACTTTATTATTTTTTAATTTTTTAAAAAATTCCCACAAGTGAGACAATAAAACCTGCAGCTGTGAAAGGACCAGTGTTAGACCCAAAGGGGGTCATCCCAACAACTCAGACAGTGAGACAAATTTCACTTTGCTACTCCAGAGAACTTGCAAGTTATTGTATATTTGTTTCATTATTCTTACATCTTTTATTTTATTAGTATTTTTTCATTTATCTTCTTTCTGCTCAGTCTTCTTTCCTTGGTTTGTTAACCTGCATTAATTGACTGGTCTCCCTTGTTCTCTCTTTCATAGTGTATTTTTAATTTTCTGTCTTTCACTTCACTTGTATTCCATTAGCACACTACTCTAGGTCCTTCACTTCCTGTTCTTGTTATTTAGAACACATAGATTCTGTCATATGATTGTTGTCATATAATTTACAATTATATCGTAAATAATTGCTGTTCCACACAATTGCAAATACTACACAGCACCCCTCCTGGATCTTAGCTCACTTCATTGTTTCCTGAACTTTATTACTGTTGGAATTAACTCTATTCTCTCGAACATTACACCTATTTTCTATCCTTTACTCTCACTTTACCTCATAATCTTACCTCCCACAAGCTCACTGCTTTCTAGATCCAACTCACAATCCTTGCCCCCTCTAACAAAAGTCTTAAGAGTTTTTCCACCCTTTCTAAAAAGTAGCTAGGTGTGTAAAATATGGCTAACACCATACATATCCAAAGGACCTCCTATCTCTTCTCTGTGCGTTGGTACTTTAAATACCATACAATACACTACAGCTGTCTTAAACCATGTTGCCTTCCCCTTCCAGCTGATCACAAAAAAGAGTAGGTGGGAGCTGTGAACACCAGTATACCTGCTGGAAGAGGAAACCCACCAACAAAGGAACCTTCAACAGATAACAACGGAAGAAGGTAACAACAGAAGGAGGGAGTGGAGGCCACACTAACCTCACTCAACCCAGGTCCAATCTGGAAATACAACTAAATGGTGGAGAAATTATCCTGAAAATACAACTGAACAAAAGCAAGAAAAAAGTCTCAAAACCTCATAGAGACAGAAGAATCAGCTTCAACACAACCTGTCCACACCTGGACAACAGAATACGAGATGTGATGGACAAAGTGCCCCTCAGTTAACCAGCTGGTGGGAAGGACTCACCAAAGAAAGACCAAACAACAATCAAAACCCAAAGACATACAGAGAACCAACATAAACAACAGCCCAAGAGCAGCGAGTTCAAGAAATCAAGGAGACCGCACTACTGAAACTCACAAGTCTTCTACCATAGAAGTCCACACCATAAACCCAGGGAGTCAGAACAGATGAATTTAAGAAGCAGAGGCTAACAAGAAGAGTCTCACAAACAATGTGAAGACCAAAAAACAATCCCTAAATGAAAGGAAAAATCAAAGGAAGCCTCTGAAAGAATGCTAACTGATATAGAGGCAACTCAACTATCAGACATTGAGTTCAAAGCAATGGTTTATCAGGAAGTTCAATGAGCTTACTGATAATTACCAAAAACTATAGGGCAACTACGATGATGAACTCACTGCAAACGGTATCCACATGAAAAATGAAACAGAAACTATCAACAAGGGCCAAGAGGGAATGAAGAATACAATTTCTGAACTGAAGAACTCAGTACAAGAAATCAAAAGCAGGCTAAATGAAGCAGAAGATGGGATCAGCAAGATGGATGACAAAGTAAAAAAAAAAAACCCTCAAAAAAAGCAAGAAAAGGAAAAGAGACTCAGAAAGACTGAAGAGGGGTTAAGGGAAATGGAGGACAACATGAACCATAACAATATCCGTATAATAGGGATACTAGAAGAAGATGATCAAGGTATAGAAAACCTGTTCAAAAAAGTAATGATGGAAAACTTCCCTAATTTCATGAGAGAAACAAATCCAAGTAACACAGACAGTCCCAATCAAGAGGAACCCAAAGAGGCCCACTTCAAGACATGTCATAATTAAAATGGCAAAATTCAAATTCAAAGTGAGAATCTTAAAGACAGCAAGAGAGAAACAGGAAGTAATATAAGGGAGGCCTGACAAGACTAGAAGATGACTTCTCAATGGAAATGCTCCAAGCCAGAAGGGAATGGCAAGGAATATTCCAAGTAATAAAAAACAAAGGCCTGAAACCAAGACTACTCTATCCAGCAGGACTCTCAATTAAAATGGAAGGACAAATGAGGAGTTTTCCAGAAAACAGAAGCTTCAAAGAATATACCTCCTCCAATCCAGCTCTGTAAGAGATGCTAAAGGGACTATCTTCAGAAGAGGAAGAAAAGGAGTGAGAGAGAAAGGAACAAAGGTACATAGGGAGTAAAATGGCAATGAATAAGAACCTATGAATAATAACCTTAAATGTAAATGAATCATATGCCCCAATCAAAAGACAGGATAGCCGAATGGATAAGAAATCATGACCCACACATATGATGCCTACAAGAGACCCACCTCAGGACAAAACACCTACACAGACTAAAAGTGAAGGACTGGAAACAAATATGCCATGCAAATGAGCAGGAAAAAAAAAAAGGCAGG